TATATATATATATATATATATATATATATATATATATATATATATATATATATATATATATATATATGAATATTAACTTCTTATCTGATATTTGTTTATCATCCATTTATTTCTTGTATTATTTTCCTTGTGTAAATTTATGTAAACTTGTCTTCAATCTTGTACAGACTTTATTCTATATTTAACGATGTTGCCAAAATGATTCCACTGCAAAGAATTATGCCACAATGAATGATATCATCGTATCAAAACTGAAACATTAAAATTATACAATTGTATACAATAATAATCTATTAATTTATATAAATTGGGTTTCGATTGACTACGGTACGATTGGACATAGATTGTAATAATTGGTTCGACTTAGTAATTTACTAGATAATTCTTATCATCTCTAGATAATTCTCTATCATTGGTTATGTCCAATCGTAGCGTGGTCAATCGGAACGCTCCCAATGAGTCACATATACTTTACATAGTTTAATAAAGAGTTAAAAAATAAAAAATTAGATTTTTCTTAGAGTAAAGGGACTAAGTATATAACAAAAGTAATACATTATTTTCCCTATCTTCACACTTCTCAGTAGACAACGTTGTTATTAACTACTATCTTAACCTTATCATACAGCTACATACATTATGCTTTCACACATTTTTACATGTAAAGTATCTTATTCCCATGGCGCGTATTGAACAAAATGCCTAAATAATAACAACCAATCGAGAATCAACTTAGTATTTCTGTTGTATTGTACAATAGAAAGCCTAATCTTTTATTGGTTAGCTTTAGAAAGTTATTGGTTACTCTTTACGCGAATTTAACGAAATACGCGCAATAGGAATTAGGTATTGAATGTCGACGGGTGGGACCCGATTGACCACGATACGATTGGACATAGATTGTAATGATTGGTTCGATCTAGTAATTCACTAGATAATTCTTTGCATCGGTTAGTTGTGTCCAATCGTATTGTGGTCAATCGGGACTCTCCCAATGTCGACTTGCAAAATGGCATAACTTCTAGTAAATTACTATATTACGCAGGTTCCGTTTACGTAAGTTACGCCGCATAGGGAGGCACCCTTAAGCCCGCATCAGACTACCGACTGCACAGGCCGACCCGACTGCCGATTACGACTACCGAATCTCAATGAACCAATCAATCACAATCGCCGACTCGGCGCCTCACTATGATTGGTCCATTGAGATTCGGCAATCGTAGTCGGCAGTCGGGTCGGCCTGTGCAGTTGGTAGTCTGATACGGGCTTTAGGCTGATACTTCGTACGACAAGCTTTTTGGATACGTTCATTGGTTGACGAATAAAGAACATAGAAATACTTTATTTGTTAACCAATAAACGTATCCGAAAAACTTGTCGTACGACACGTGAAATAGCACTCTTATAGCGAATTCGGTAGCTTGCACTAGTGCGCACTGAGTGCGCATTAAGGCTTGTTTACAGTACATTCTTATATTTAAGATCGTGTCTTAAATATATATTTAAAAACATTTTAACTAATAAAATGATTCGTACGGATGTTATACATATCATATTATGATTAAAAATATTTGAGAATTTATTTGAGAATTATTTAAGACAATTTTTAAATATAATAACATACTATGAACAAGCCTTAGTGCGCACTCAGTGCACACTAGTGCAAGTAACCGAATTCGCTATTAGAGTGCTCAAATCAATACCTAACCTTAAAAAATTTTGTATCGACATGCCCTGACTAGTGAATCAGATATGACAGAACGCTATAACAACATTACATAATAAATTCGATATAAATCTATTTTTTAACTTACCCTGTGTTGATCCTTACCCATTTCTTATTATTGCTTTGCAAAACTTGTTATATGTGACAATATTCATTTCATCACTCCTTTTAGTTCAAACGACTAAAAGATACGCTTACTAATGCAGCCAAAAATTGGACTTGGCATAACGAAAATAGCGTAAAGAACACAAAATAACTAGGCGGAAATTTAAATGAGATGATGTGATTAGTTGGCGCAAGTTACGCTTACGCAAGTTACGCCGCATAGGGAGACACCCCCAGGGTAGCGATCATGAATTTTTTCCCCTAATATGAACTCGTAAAAAGCGAAAATTTTTTTAATGAACTCGTGAAAGATGAAAACCTTCACTAAACTCATGAAAAATGAAAGATTTAACGTGAATTTGTAAGTAAAATAAATATTACAATATACTCACGACAACATTAATTTGCAATGGACACTCTTTAGAATTTTTTCAGTATGTTTTTAAGACATAGTGATGTCTTTAGAATGTCCCTTGGAAGTCTGCTTGTCTGAGATTACTTTAGGATAAATTATTAAAAGATAAAATATTCTATTCATCTTAAAATTATAAATCTGCAGAAAATATATATGTCATATAAAATAATACATAAAATATATGCAATAAATACATAAAATAAACTTACATTTTACTTACTGCATACAATTTATAATATATTACATTTTAACTTTCTGATGCATACGTATCGTAACTTTGCAAACTTCGTCGGTATGCTTTCACTGTTTATACGTTATCACGCATCAATTGGCTTTCGTCGTTCATTTTTAATGGACGTAGGATTCTTATGTCAAATGCCAATTATCGTATAACCATAAAAATTAAATAAGAAATTCACTATAAGAAATTCTACTCACTTAGTACATAATATGCGAGTGTAGTATTACATTATTTTTCACATTTAAACCACATCGCTTAATGCTTAAAAATTTTCATGGAAACTTACACAATATACATGTAAAGAACCCTTATAGAAATATCATACTAAGAATCATTGATTAATTACTTATTTTCAGTATTAAAAGTATAGTATTTAATAACATTCAATTTAGTATGATTCAAATACAGCTTTTAGTACTCAAGTATTTCAATATTTAATGTTACAAATCCTACCTTATGATTGATTTCAATACTTAAATATTGATATGTAATACTTCCCTTATAGAAATATCATACTAAGAATCATTGATAATTACTTATTATCGAGTATTTTTAATACTGAAAATAAGTAATTATCAATGATTCTTAGTATGATATTTCTATAAGGGAAAATAATACAAAATCCGTCGGAATTAGCGGAACTCAGTAATAAAATAACACAAATATACCAGAATTTGGAAAATAGATCGAACTCCTTAACTCATTATAAAAACATCATATATACAACAGCACCGAGTGGAATAACTATAGTAATAGTAATTATACTGGCAGTATTCATAATAAGAAAAATAAAAAAGAGAAAAGACCCACCAATCATAGTAGAACGCAGTAGCCAGTGAAATGTAAGAACACGTTCTAGACCGATAATACCCACAATTCCTGCGCTAGCACAGCTTATACGCATAAGGTAAAAATAGTACACGATTGTAACCACATTTATATAAAAATATTTATAAGGAAAAATAAATTTTGTAACACGAATACGGTATAATAAATTATAATAAGCACAAACAATTATAACCATAATTGTAAACGGAAAAAAATGTACATATAATAAGATTGCGAAAACCTCGCTAGCCCTTATAGAAATATCATACTAAGAATCATTGATAATTACTTATTATCCAGTATTTTTAATACTGAAAATAAGTAATTATCAATGATTCTTAGTATGATATTTCTATAAGGGAGGACCTCCGTTTTCTTTTCCCATGGGGGGAGGGATGTTATAATCGCGAATATTATTAGCGCTGTCGAAACGCTTCATGAGGAACCGTTTCGATTGCACTACAACAAGGAAGCGGGTGTGCAAATGCTGCGCTAAGCACCACCTTGCACATTCCGCATTTCGGACCTCGAGTCGAAACGCATCAAATAATTCCCTTATAGAAATATCATACTAAGAATCATTGATAATTACTTATTATCCAGTATTTTTAATACTGAAAATAAGTAATTATCAGTGATTCTTAGTATGATATTTCTATAAAGATTACCAAATATGGTAATCTCCTTGTCGCCAGGCATCCCCTCTGACAGGACTAAACAATATTATAAAAGAGCGGAGAAGACCGCCCGCGATAGCTTTTAATACCTCGGTCTCTCGCCTGCGACGTGCGTACCTGTCGCACTTCCCGCGTGTAACTCTAAGTTTCGGATGTTAATAAATAAACTAAATACTTTTTATAATCAAAACTATTTTATTACACTAACGACAACCGTTGGCTGTCCCACCGCCACACACTCTGCCGCGCCCGCAACATCGATCTCGAATCTTTTCTTCCTCGCGCCCCAGCAACACGGGGCACGACAACTGTAATTAAATGTTTATAATAGTACAATTAGTACTGGAGTGTTAAGTAAAGCGTGCAAGCGCGATATGAGGAAAAAATGCTGGCGGCAAAGAAACACTTGACTGCCACATCGAGACGTAAGCGCGCTCCCTCGCTTTACCTAAAGCAGTGGTATTTTTCATAATATTACAGACCACTAATTCCAATAGAGTAAAGTGAGAAGAAATAATTTTAAATGAAATCGATATCTTTTGTAGTTGCCGAAAGAAAGCAAAAAATGCTGGCAGGATATGAGCACTTGACCGCGACGTCGAGACGTACGCACGCTTCCACGCTTTACTTAAAGCAGTGATGCTTTTGTAATATTATAAACCACGAATTTCAATACAGTAAAGTGTGGAGAAGTCTGTGCTTTTTAAACGAAATCGATACCTTTTGTAGTTGCTGAAAGAGAGCAAAAAATACTGGCGGCATATAAGCACTTGAACGCGATGTTGTGCTCAAGCTCTTACATGCCGCTAGCATTTATTGCTTAATTTCGGCAACTACAAAAGATATCAATTTCGTTCAAAAAGCACTATCTTCTCTACACTTTACTCTATTGGAATTAGTTGTTTATAATATTACGATTAATACCACTGCTTTAGGTAAAGTATAGAAATGCGCAAATGTTTCGATGTTGCGATCAAGCTCTTACATGCCGCTAGCATTTATTGCTTAATTTCGGCAACTACAAAAGATATCAATTTCGTTCAAAAAGCACTATCTTCTCTACACTTTACTCTATTGGAATTAGTTGTTTATAATATTACGATTAATACCACTGCTTTAGGTAAAGTATAGAAATGCGCAAATGTTTCGATGTTGCGATCAAGCTCTTACATGCCGCTAGCATTTATTGCTTAATTTCGGCAACTACAAAAGATATCAATTTCGTTCAAAAAGCACTATCTTCTCTACACTTTACTCTATTGGAATTAGTTGTTTATAATATTACGATTAATACCACTGCTTTAGGTAAAGTATAGAAATGCGCAAATGTTTCGATGTTGCGATCAAGCTCTTACATGCCGCTAGCATTTATTGCTTAATTTCGGCAACTACAAAAGATATCAATTTCGTTCAAAAAGCACTATCTTCTCTACACTTTACTCTATTGGAATTAGTTGTTTATAATATTACGATTAATACCACTGCTTTAGGTAAAGTATAGAAATGCGCAAATGTTTCGATGTTGCGATCAAGCTCTTACATGCCGCTAGCATTTATTCTTTATTTCTCGGCAACCACGAAAGATATTGATGTTATTTAAAGAACACTAGTTTTTCCACAGTTTATGCTACTGGAATTAATGTTTTATAATAATGCGATTAATATCGTTGCGTTATGTAGAGCATGGAATTGGGCGTGCTTTTCGCGGTCAGGTTCTCGTATCCCTTATAGAAATATCATACTAAGAATCATTGATAATTACTTATTTTCAGTATTAACAATACTGGATAATAAGTAATTATCAATGATTCTTAGTATGATATTTCTATAAGGGATATACACGTACATATGATATTTCGTACGCATATACATGTAAATAAATTTATGACAGTGCATAAAGAGAAAAGATCATGTGCATGTTGAATGAAATATAAGTTCGTACGCAATGGTCCAAATGTTCTTAACCACGCAATTATGCGCTTAGCATAGACACGAATCGCCAGGAAATGGGCGTAGAATAGACACGCACCGAATCGCTGTTTTACGGCATCGTCTGAAAATGGACATAGGAAACGTAGTTCCACCTGAAAAACGGGTGCAGATGGCGCATTGCACCAGCGTGAAAATCGGTGTCGCCCAAAACATATGGCGTGGCCGCTCTCAGGCTTCTCTCTGCTTTAACTTATTGCACCAGATCAGCAGTGCAGCTGAAAAGAACAGATCACAAGTTACAAGACTTAGGGTACTATTTTACGTGTCGTACGACAAGCTTTTCGGATACGTTTATTGGTTGGCGAATAAAGTATTTCTAGGTTCTCTGTTCGTCAACCAATGAATCTATCCAAAAAACTTGTCGTACGACACGTGAAATATCAGCCTTATGATTCTGCCTAGAATTGCAGCATAACTCTATGGTTGTGATTTTTGTAATGAGTTAGGAGGATTTGAGAAGATTACCGCCGTAGGCTATTCTTGAAATGATTTCTGCTACTATCTTGGAGAGAATTTCGAGGGCCTTCGTCGCCGGCAAATCGTGTTTTCGGACGATTAGTAAAAGTTTCGTCGATAGCTCGGTGGAGAGCAAAGTAGCAGTTCAAGATGACATGGTATGTCGAAATGTAACCCCTTGTCCACAACCTTGTTTTAATTCTTAAACATAAGTTGTATTTATCTTATGTGTGTATTGTAAACAAAAATATTTTCTTTATGTAAAACTTTGCTTATTTATATATTACTACCAATATTCTGAATTACCAATTACTGAATATTGAAACAATTCATAAATATGTAATTAATAAAATACATACTGTGCTTTACACCGATCGTTTGATACATATAAGTTCCAAACAGGAACTTTCTTTTAAATTATTTTAATTTAACGTTTAATTTATATTGATTATTTAATATACGTACTAAATAATAACCTTCTATTGAATAATTCATTTTAATATCGACAATGTATTTCAACAATAGTCTACTAAACTTATATAATGGCCTTGTTTATACCAAATGTTTGATATGCATACTAAATAGCAACTTTTTATTAAATAATCTTAATATCGAAGATATATGTAAACAACAATGTACTAAGCTGATACTCATCAAAAAGATGTGTTGAAAACATTGTTGGTGACATGCATTGTCAATATCAAGTTTATTTAATATAAAGTTACTATTTAGTACACATACCAAATATTCAATGTAAACAAAGCCAATATCAAGAAGCCAGTATCAAGAAGACGCATCATCAAATGTAATTGTTTATATACATTATCAAAATAGAGACAGTTTAGTAGAAAATATGCTTGTTTACACCTTCTGATATACATGTACTAAGTAGTAATTTTCTGTTAAAATAATTTTAATTTCTACTATGTATGTAAACAACAACATGCTAATCTAATACAATACGCATAAAAAACATCAATTTAAAACACCATTATTAATATATATATTACTGAAATATAGATAATTTAATATAAAATTATTAGTTGGCACAAGACTAAATGATATAAACAAAAAGTCTAGTAGTTGATCATGAATCTTTTACTGTAGCATAAACTCTTGAAAAATAGAAAACTTAAAAATATATGAAAATGTTTACTTTTTATGAGTTTATATTAGGGGAAAAGATTTATGATCATCTCTAAATATTGCAAGATTATTCACTTTTCACAATTTCATATTAAGGAAAAAATTACATGATTAATAAATAAGTTCTAGCTCACATGAAAAGATTGATTAAAAAAATATCAAATTACATAATTGATAATTAAATCCTAATTTAACTAGCAGTTGATCTTAAATATTTTACTTTAATCTTGTGGAAGATGAAAATTTATTTATCTTGATAGTACTTGGAAATATTCACTTTCATGAATTTACATTAAAGGAAAAGATTTATGATCACAAAATATTTCTAAACTGAACTACAGTTTTTGCTAGAGTGAAACAAATATATAACCTAGCATTGAAGAAAAAAGAAATACTGCATTAGTTCAGTTAAAAAGAGATGTTTTTATTGTTGCACTGTCTGCATTATCTTAAAAATACAGTAGATATATATTTGATATCTGTTGAAAGAGAGAAGGAAATAGAAATATTATTGGATAGTTCAGAAAGTGCAGCTTTTAAAAAAGCTATAAAAAAAACATAATACATAAGAACAAGTGTAAGGCTACTGGTAAAGTATGTTTTTTTTGTGTTTGCAGCCCATACAAATGGAGAACCCTTATTTCAAAGAGAAACGTCAATGTATTTTGTGCAAATGGAATATTGAGCCAGATTACAAAAATGTACGATTACTCTCTCAGTTTCAAAGCCGCTATACAGGCAGGATATATGAGAAACATATCACTGGATTGTGTGAATACAAACACAAGCGAATAATGGAAGAGATTAGGAAGGCTCAACGTGTAGGTATGTATAGTATTGTAATTTTATGACTGATTGAATAAAATGGTAGATATTTATTGAGCAATAACTATATTGAGTTTTTCATGTTCACAGGCTTGATGGGCTATATGACTAAAGAACCAAAATACACCAAAGATCCGTCATTATTCGATCCAAATCATCCATTCAAACCACATCAATTTTAGATGAATATTGAGAAAGTGTACATATATTTACATACATACATACATACATATATATATATACATACATACATACATACATACATACATACATACATACATACATACATACATACATATATACATACATACATATATACATATATATAAAATATTAAAATTCAATCAATAAATTTAGAATTAATTTTCTTAAATTCAGAATTCTTAAATTCAGAATTAATTTCTTTTTTTAGATCTTTTGAACCATAAACGAATAATCTTCTTAATCTTACAGTGAATAGATATTTTTGACAATAGTAAACGGGAAGTCACTCATGTCTGATGCATTTTTGTCAACTTAAGCTTGTTGAAAATTTTTAAAAAAATTTATAACTTCCCTCGTCTCAATTAAAAGATTATAGGGTTATTAAAAATAAAGAATAAAGCTGTATATAATCTTTTAATTGTTTTTTAACAAGGATTTATGAAAACATTTCATTTAAAGAATTATTTTCGTAATTTTTCTTGAAATAAAAGATTCAGTGTTTTATGTTTAAAATATTTAAAAATCGTGATAATTATAAATTATATTTTAAAAAAATTATATTTTAAAAATCGTGATAATTATAAAATATATAATTATAAAAAAAATATAGTATTTTGAAAAAACTTAAAGATAAACCCTTAAATATCTTAGGGAACTTACTTCCTATGATCTTGTTCTTAATATATGTTATCAAGGTTATGCTCTTGAGTGCAAAAGGTTTTAGACGTCGATCATTGTTTGTTAAAAAGTTATTGACAAAAAAAGTTTGGTAATTGGATAAAAATGTTGTTTAGCTACCTCTGATGATCTTGCCTATTATCAAGGACATCCTCTTGAGTAATATTCAAAAAGTTTTAGGCGTCGCTTATTGTTTATTAAAAAATTATTTTAAAAAAGTTTTATAAATAGAACGTAATTTTTGCACACTGTGGGTACGGTCCAGTAAGCGCTACAAATGCTTTGTAATATTTTTATATCTTTCTCTTCATTCAAATTCAAGAAATAGAAACGCTGCGCAGCATTTGTAGCGGTTACTGGACCGCGCCCAGTGTATTGAAATACAATAAATTTATATAAATGTATAGTACACGTATAAGCATGGAGGAGGGGTTTCGCCTTTCCCCTTGCAATCCCTCCCCAAAAACTAATTTAACCTAATCCATTCTTTACATTTTTGTATCCTTGTATTATTTCTCACTGAGAATTTATGTATAAAAATCTGGGAGCGTCCCAGATACGCACATTGACAAACGGACACAGCCAACCACAACGCCGTATACCTAGAGATATCTAGAGACTTTATAAACAACGAGATATGATTGGATGTATCCGTTTGTCAATGTGCGCATCTGGGACTCACTAAAAAATTTAAAGGATGGGTTAGGTTGAATTAGTTTTTTGGGAGGGGTGAAACTCTCCTCCTCCACGCATATACGTGTGTAATATTTACCATATTTTAAATATATACTAGTGATCGAAAATATTGATAAAAATAAATATCGATACTGAATTGATATTTAAAAAAAAATCGATACTATATCGATTTTATTTCGATACTATATCGATATCTTTAATTTCTAATTATATACATAGTTATTTAAAAAAACATTGCTTGCGAAGTGGAGCCATTCTAAAAAAAATTGAGTAATATAAATAGTAAAAATGATATTAAAAATTTATTGTATGGAATGTTATTCCATCACTTGTTAATTTTGAGAATTTAGAACAGGGCTGCACAACTGGCGGCCCAGTAGCTACGCTTGGCTATCACGTTTATTCCACTTCCTTCATTCGTAGCTGAGAAGCACTCTCCACTCTCGTTTAAAGCGCTGGCGGGGCAGCCTCTAAAGTAGTGGTAGTAATATCGATCTGTGCATCAACCGTTTCGTCTTTCGCTCAAGGCACTGCTTGAAGCTTGACACAGCTCGTTTATTTCGTATTTACGTACGCATTGCGGGAATTATTGCATAATTTTCAATATGCAGTGGCGAAAAATTGATAAATAGACATTTTCAAGATAATTGGAAGTATAAATATTTATTTATATCTAATGATTCAAATGTACAAATGTTTCACATTACTTGTGACAACTTTTCATTCACATTACGCACTTGTAGTTATTTACTGAACGGCTCATGTTTGACGACAGCACGCCGATACTAACCATATGAAACGGAGCCGAGCGTACGTATGTAGGGTGCGTTCGCTTTGAACGCTTATGCGCTTTAAGCGCTTATAAATATCGCTCACGTCGTTTACTTTGGCGCTATAAGCGCTTAGAAACTGCATATTGACGTCATGCGTGACGTCATAACTCGCGCTTACATTCACTTCTTCTATCGAGGTAGGGCAGTAAAGGCGTGAGCACTTATAAGCGCTTATTTTCCAAAGAGAACGATAAGTTAGATTGCGTCGATGAAATCGACGCAATCTAACCTCCAATATAAACCTTAAAGTGAAATAGTGTTTCAAAATGACTTCCAACGAGAGTAACAAAACCAGAATAACT